GAGATAATATACACCACCGTCGTTAATTTGAGTGATTTCTTCGCTCAGTCACGGATGCAAACCGGGGCGCCATTTTTTCCCGAGTTACTCTGAGGTAAATAGCAAAGGATATTCGGAGTTTGACTAGCTAATCAGAGTGCGCCTTCAACGCTATCCACTGTTTTAGTGTATACTAATTGTTGTTATTCTCTGAACCCTTTAATTAACTCCCAGAAGTGATTAACCCGTAACTTCTTCCTATAATATCCATACATTATCCAGCAAACAGGTAATGAGAATACTCAAACTTACAGCATCAGGGTAGAAGTTGTTACCTTGATAGAACACCAAATTCTTGTAACCAGTTTACAAGGAAATGTGTAGCAGCTAGAGGGGAGAATTCATAATTAGATCTAATGGTATTACTGTTAAAAAGAAATTAGATGCTGGTCACTCTTAAGGTATTATAGGATTTGAATGCAGTTGCAAAGGAATGATGTCAAAAGTTTCAACTGGAGGGAAACTGGGAGTCAGTGGTTTTAAAGAAATTGTGAGGGGGGTGGGGAGGGGGAGTCGCTAGTTATTGAGATTCTGCCACATCTGTGCAATGCAGATATACAAGATGAAGTCACTGAAATATCTCACAATTAAGATATTTGAATTTTAGATTGCCTATTTTTGTTTTTAATTTTCATTTTAGTAACTGTTGTGGAGGTTCTTCCTAAAGACAAGAAGGGAAAGGAAGAAAAAATAAATATTTTGGGACACTCTTGTATCGATTTGCTACCACTTCTTCATGGTGAGGCACATTTAGATATTTGTACATTTAAGCATGTTTATATTTTTGTTGTATGGTTATCTTATTTGCAGTATGTATGCTGCAAGAAGTAATGTTAACATCAATATACATGAAGCCTAGTCTTTTTAAGATAAAGTTAATTTGTAGGATTTAAACTGAAGAAAAATTCATTTTGCAATTGCTGCATGATTGTTTCTCTTAAGTAAGGGAGGAAATTGGAGAATGTAGTTTTACATGTCCTGTAAAGAAGCGTATTCTTATGCCACAGAATTTATCGAATTTTAGGGGCTTTTTCTAAAATTTACACTCAGATTGGCCATAATTATTTACGTATGTTGATAATTTTCTAATACTGTGCTTTCCTATTTGACATGATGTGACTAAAAGGAGAAACCAAATTCAGTGTTATGCAGTGTGTCCATCCTGTCACTGTTCCAAATGAACCAGCCACAACTGAACATGTTCTGGTGAGAAAAATCTTTTTTTTTTCTTTTTTTTCCTCAATACTTCCAGGCTTTTGTAAAGGATTAAAATGCTGAGTAGTTAACTTAAACTGATATTTTCAATGGACAGGATTTTATGTTTGCCAATCTTTGTCGTGATAAAGGAAGTTAGGCAATGCATGATCAGATTTGAACTAACTGCATTGACACAGCCACCTAGATTACACTAGCCCTCTCCCTGATGTTTTTGAGATGATTGGGTGTCACTGGCTGTGATGTAACTGTATATGTGCTCAGGCTTCATCCTTAGTTTATAAAAAGTTCTTCTGTATATCATTTGCATGCACTCTACATCATAAAATGTAACCAAGGGGTGTACACTGTACATACACATGTGCATAATTGTATAAGCTTATTTAAGAATTATGTGAGTCTATTATTTTTATGTTTGCTGATTCATTTTTTTTTAGCCTGAAATTGAAGTGCAAGTCTCTGTAGCACAACCTCTTCTTACAGAAACACAGCTTCATAACAGGTTTGAACAGGCTCTAAAATATAGATTACAAAAGTACTGCATTTACCCATCTCATCTAGATAAATTGTGTTTTCATTAGAGATCAATAGCTGTAACTAGATGTAAAAGACAGAATGTTACTAGCTTTACCTGGGCAGTTCACTGTATGTGCAGCAAATATGATATGCAGAGTTCATGACTGTGTGGATGTACTGCAACAATTCCCTTCTTTTGACACTGTTGCTTCCTGGAACTACAGCATTCTTCCCTAAATATTCCTGTGCTCGTGTTGGATACACTCAATAAAGACTCATTGTTGCACTCATTCCCTTTATTCGCTTAGGTTCATGTAAAGCAAAAGCTCAACTGAAAATAAATCACAAAACGCTAACTGATTCAGTGTACTTAAAACATAACAGAATATTGAAAAGAGAAACGATATAAAACTAATTTACATACCAACATTTACGGCTCTTTTCCTCGAGAGGGTATCCAAACACGTGCGTTCACTTAATGTACTAATTATAATTGATTACTAACTATGTTTCATATATCGTAATATGATCAATAAAGATTATGAACTGGCGGTAAAAATTCCATTCCCAAGGGTTTTGATAACTTTTTCCAAAAACAGCTGCTTATTGTGCTACAATTGGCAGTGGTGTATTATGTAAAATTCAAACAAAGGAGCCTGCTCACTGCAGGGCTAAACAGATAGTGGGAAGAGGTATTATATGCTGCAGAAGAGTGTTGGAAACTGACTTTTATTGAGACCCTTGCATTTCCACTGAGCTTTTATATGCTGTTAATCTTTTCCCTGGTCCACAAGGAAGCTTTACTTAAATACAAAAACCAATCAGTACTTGTTTAAAGAAACTAATTAAATTGCAGGAAAATGAAAAGCAACTCTTGCAACTATCTACAAACCAGCTCACTATTGGATTGACAAAACATTTGCACATACTAAATAAAATCCCATATACGAGGAACTGAATCTCATGATTTCAAAATGGATGTAATAAAGTGGTAATTGAACTTCCTGTTGTGCAGTTTTGCTCTGAAATCATACTTGTGATTTCAAATGAACTCATGCTGTGCACTTCTTTGATTTTGGAAGTATGCCATATGATTTCAGACCTAATAATATGCATGAAAAAATTTCTCAGTTCTGAGTGGTTAAGATGAATGCAGTTTTCAGTTAATTCAGTGCAGAAGAGAGTTAATGCAGTGCAGAAGAGAGTTAATTCAGTGCA